ATGTAAATTAAAATAAGAATATTTCAATGATTTTAGTAGGGTGATTGATGAATTTTTAAATAGTATTAGGGGGCGATTTAAATAAATCTAGGGATGTAAGTGATATGTACCTTGTTAAACAATTACAATGGACTTCTATTATTCAATATAATAGAATATAATAACATAGGAACTTAATCCATTGTAATGCAGATTTTAGGGAAAGGGTTATAGAATCTTAGTTGAATCAGTCCTCTTATCAATTTCAATCCTATTTACCATTCGATATTTTCTAGCTTTTCCATTATATAAGCTTCATATCTAACTTGTATTTGATGATTCTTACCACAAACCCTAAACCCTAGACTTATTTTCTTTGCTAACCATGGTGTTTCTTCCCCAAAAAATCATATTCCACCATATACTTCCAAAACGTCCAGTCAAATCAATGTGCCAATTCAAGTGTGTTTCCAAATCATTCATGGCTTTGTTCAGCGACCCCTTTTTTCATCAAAAGTCACATGTCTTAAGCTCATAGAGATCATCTCCTTGTTCTTCCTAATTCAGATCTTTATCTTATCAACCCTAAAACATCTTCTAATAATGAGAAGCTCACTACACCGAGAGCATGTTAAAGGCTTCCAACTATACTCAATTGGAACTCCGTAGGGGTAAGCAAACAATTTTTCCGAACATGACCAAAGGTCTTGCACCAAGAGCATGTTAAAGACTTCCAACTATACTCAAATCTCACCTTTACCCTTTCATCACTAGGCAACTTCACTTTAATAACTTTTGAAAAATCTGACAAAGCCTCCATTTCAATGCACACCCTAGAAAATTCAATTCTTTTTCCCTCCTTAGTGATGAAGTCCATGCAAAGAGGGACACCCACGACACTAGAAATATAACTTAGACCCTTGGGGGTCCAAAATTCCAAGGGTATCCTTTAAAGCTTCACCCAAATAGCAACTTTCTTCAATCCGTCCTTGGTTAAGCTAAGGTTTGGACTCCACTTCTTTAGAATTAGGGGTTGGGTGGTCACATGCCAAGGACCTCCTTACAATGCTCTAATCATGCTATGTTCATCTCCAAATTGAAGAATAAAACATCCTTGCCCATTGGACATAACTTTACCTCTTTAAAAGATTGCCAAGATTTTCAACAAACTTCGTCACCTACACAAATAGTAACTTTTTCCCAATTCCAAAACCAACAATAAAAGTCTTCCACTTTTGCTCTCCCAAAGCTGCTATTTCACTAGTAAGCTCAACCTCCACCTCTCAATTTTTGCCCTCCTCGGGTTTTATGAATCCCAAGCTAGCAATTGATCTATTTGAAGAAAAGAGGCCTTTCCAAACACCTTGAAAAGCTTCCTGCCCACCCTTATTGTTCACGGCCAAGGATGAGCTAAATCCCCTATTGTTTTGATTAGCCTAACTCCCACCCAAACCCGAAAAGTCTTCTTTACTTATGATATTCTCTACACTTCCCACCACTCCAAGCTTCTCATTCTCACTAAAACCATCTCCATTAGAGCTTGAACATCTCAACTTAGCATTCTCAATTACATTGGAACTGTCCATAGAACTCCTCCCAATTAGTCCTATAGTAACACTGCCCACTTTCTCAAATCTGTATGTGTGTGCATCTTTCTTTACTTATCAATATCAAGAAAATGGTGAAATGCGATTACGTAATTTAGAGTTTTATGGTTTCTTAAAACTGAGCTAAATTCTAGTTGATTCCCATGATCTCATGATGTACATTTCTTGTTGATTATCATGGTCTCATGATATAAATTTCTAGTTGATTTTGTACTTTAGGGTTTTATGGTTTCTTATAACTTAATTGATCTCATGATATAAATTTCTTGTTGATTTTGTACTTTAAGGTTTTATGGTTTCTTAAAACTTAATTGATCTCATGATGTACATTTCTTGTTGATTCTTGATTTGATAATCAAGTATTTATTCAGAGATTGTGGATTTTCTTTTCTAACTATTGTTTTCAATACATTTTGCAAGATTTGGAGAAAGAGAAAATTTCCTTTCTAGAACCATAGGAAGATATCAATTCATCTAATCTCAAATATTAGATATGTTCATATGTTTTGCTAGAAAGGTTAATTCTGCTTGAATTGTCTCTTCCCAGTTTGGCCAATCATGTCTCTTTCGACATTCATCAATAGAACGTGTTTCAAACTCATCATTCATAATTTTAGTAGCTACTGCATATGAGAATATGTTATTGACAATAATTGTCTCACGATTCCACATTTCTCTAGAGTGAGCATAGTTTATAGAAATTTCTTCATTTCTATGTTCTTGTATTCTTTTAGGGATTTCTTCCTCTTCAAGGGCTTGTGTCCTTTCAGGGAATATTAACCTAGAGTTAGTTTAGAAGATGTGGAATTGTCAATTATTCTAGTATTGTCAATATTGGAACCTATTTGATTTTGTGCCTTTTGTTTCCTACGAATGGTATCCTTGGCTCCAACAGGCCTACCACGCTTCTAGCGTGTAATAGATGAATCGATTGCTACTTACATAGACTGTTCATTGGTAACATCAATCCTTGTTGGTGTATTCCTAGTAGGAATGTATGATCTCATTATTTTTGTTGCATCTATAAATGCATTAAGCATTTGGCTGGGAATGTTTTACAAATGTGTTATTCTCTGCACTTCAATTTTAGATTGAGATGTGCGAGGATCTAAATGAGACATATAATTTACTTTCCAAGAAATTTTAGGCCTTACTCTAGGAGGCTTTATCTTTCCCTCTAAAGGAGGAAATATTTTCTCATCAAAATGATAATTCGCAAAATGTGTGGTAAACAGATCACCCGTCAAGGGCTCAAGATATCTGACTATGGATGGTGAGTCATCACTAACATATATTCGCAAATGATGTTGGGGTCCCATTTTGGTGTGTTGAGGGGGTGCAATTGGAACGTGCATAGCACAACCAAAAGTTCTTAAATAGGATATATTAGGCTGATGCCCAAATACAAGCTATATTGGAAAGTATCGATGATATGCAGTAGGTCTTAGGCGAATTAACGCCGCAACATGTAAAATAGCATGCGAATTAATGTCGTAGTGGGTCTTAGGTGAATTAACACCGCAGCATGTAAAATAGCATGAGCCCAGGCAGAAGTCAGTAATTGCATACATAATAGCAAAGTTCTTGTAATTAATTAGATACGCTTTATAAATGACTCCGCCATACCATTTTGGGTATGTACATGTAGTACTAGGTGTTCAACATCAATTCCCATTGCTGTACAATAGTCATCAAATGTCTTTGAGGTAAACTCACCAGCATTGTTTAGACGAATTGCTTTAATTGGGTAATCTAGAAAGTGCGCATGTAATCTGATAATTTGTGCTAGCAATCTAGCAAAGGGTCGATGTGTCAATCAGTACCATTAAGTAGCCGAAAGGTCCACTTGGTGGATGAATAGGTCCACATATGTCCCCATGAATTCATTGTAAAAATGATGGGGGTTCTAGACCAACTTTAGTGATAGATGGCTTAAGTTCCAATTTGCCTTGTGAGCAACCAATACAAGCACTCTCATTAGGTGACATAATCTTCAGGTTCTTTAATGGGTGGCCATGTGAGTTTTTCATGATTCTACACATCATAGTGGATCCTGGGTGGCCAAGACGGTCATGCCAAATATTAAAAGTTCAAGATCAGTGAACTTCCAATTCATAACTACATAAACTTCAACATTCTTCAAGAATGTGTAATGTAACCCTGATGAGAAAGTAGGGTGTTTAAAGGTACAAGTGTTATAGACTAGAAGGACTAAATATGAAGAAAATAAAGAGGAAAAGGTGCTGTCTATTGCATTGCTTTTCTCAAAAATGACTATGAAGTAAAAATGAAAAGGGGGGAAAGGGGGGGGGGGGGGGGGGGGAGGGGAGAGGGTGGTGTTGGGGGTGTTATTTATAGCCCAACACCCCCTCCTCCACTAACAGCCTTAAAGCTAAGGCGGGGGATGGACATTTTACAAAATAAAGTGGTTTAATCAAATATATAACAATCACAGAGTAAATAATGTGACTAAAGTTAAAAAGTGAGCCCAATATATATATTTTACAAGATGTGATCTAAAGTCCCACATCATTCTTGTATGAGGATAGCTGAATGTTTAAATAGGACTAATAGGTCTGTACTCAGATATGTTTTAGATTGAATCCTAGGAAGAAAACCAATGTGTGAAGATAACTGAGTGTTTACATATGATTGATACGCCTATACTCGCTACACGTGTTTTAGGCTTGAAGCCTAGGAACAAAATCATGCTTCCAAGCATACAATATGCTCTCAATATCATTGTTAAGTTGTCATCTCACCTAAATACTTAAACTAGTTGGTGAAGGCTCAACATGTATTAGACTAATAGGCTATCTCACATCAAACCCCCACTCTCACCTTATTGAGTCCGTCCCTTATTGAGTTTTGAACCCTAGATAAGAAGAGAGGGATATAGACTTTCCAACATTTACTAAATTTCTTGAAATATTTTCCCATAGTAAAATTTGTTCAAATCTCTCAAACACTATAATATGTCTCCAAATGCTATAGTTGTCTGGTTAATTCAATAGCAATAATTTTTACAAAGGAGAAGTTAAAATTGGGGTGGCTGTGGTCAAACCGGACCCCATAAAAATCTTTTAAATTTATATAAAAAGTTAAGTTAACCCCTATAAATGTAGTTATTCTCATCTAGCCACCCAAAATTTTTTAAGGTAACACTTTATCTCCAGTAAATATAACTTTCTGATTCTATCTAGCTCTATTATTCATTGAAGATAACATTTTGGTCCCCCTGGAAAATACATTCTGGCTCTACCTCTGTTTGAGAAGAAAAAATACTACATATAATTGAAACATGCTACAGTGTGTGAATGAGAAAAAATGAAATACATAGCAAGCATTTTACATTATTTATTAAGACAACAAGCTTCAATACAAAATTACATACACACAACTTGAAAATATAAATTACGTAAACACAACTTGCAAAATAGAACATAAGGTTTGTATGATAGTGAGCAGTAAGAGTAAAACTGCTACAATAGTTGCTGTGCCTCTCCAAAGATTGTTGAAATATACTCTTTTCAAGGTTGCTTTTGTTTTGTTCCATGGATTGTTACAGTGTCCCTTGAGTTCCTCACAAATGTCATAGTAAAGGGATTTGCTTACATTGATAAATTGGCCAAGTTTGTTAAACATATTTGCTACTGAAGCATTGTCGCCCATATTATTGGAAATAATTCCATATCCAACAAGCAAGTCCACATCCTTTTCAGTATCAATAAGATGATCTATTAGCCTAACGTAATTGCAAACCTGAGTATCCCATGGATAATGACACTGCTCTAAAGCCATAATGTTTCTAAGTAGACTTTCAGTGTTGTCGAATATTTTTAAATGTGGTATTTGCATCTCAGGTACTTCAAAACATGGGATTCGTTGCTTTTGTTTTTCCAATCTTATGTCAATTAAGCTGTGTTCTCCTTCAAAACACTTAAACTTCACTCCTAACTCATGCAACTTCACTGCGCAAGGTAAATCATGAATCCATCCATTGATTTGCTTAGATTTTTGGTAGTTTTCCAGTATAGTAGTTCTTCTCCAATCGGTTAAATGTTTAACTGCCACGTGGGGGGTTAATCTACTCAATTCCAAACCTTGAAAAGAACCAAAAAAAGAACGTGAAAGTTCCATGAAGGTAGGTATGTTAAGGCCAGCAAAAGCTAACTTACATATTTCCTCGAGGACAAAGTATGGAAGTTGATTTTCGAGTAATTGTAAGTCCATACATAAAGATGATCTTACCATTGATGTGGATAGTAAAATATCTCTTCCACGTAAATTGAATTCATACCTTAATAATAACTCTATGATAAAGATAGCATCATATAGAATCATCATTACATACTCATTGCTCCCAAGTTTAGATGTCTCTGCATAACAATTACGAACATCTTTCTCATTATCCTTGATGAAGTTTATAATTTTATCTCGGTTTTGTACTGTTATTCGTTCAAGAAAACTTTTCATATATTTTCTTTTTGTCTTTTCCATGTCAACTAATTCGTCTTTCCAATGGTGAAGAGGACCTATTGAAACTAATTGAGGAGTGTAGGCTCCTTCATTTATTCTGTGAAGATCTTTAGGAACCCTATAAATACAACATTGACGAGGATCAAGCTCAGGCTCCAAGTTTTTGTCAATGTCAATTTGCAACTCTTCGACGAACTCCTCAAGTTTAAAAAAAGCACTCATCTTCAACTTCTTTGCCCTATTGACCAACAGTACTAACAACAGTCAATAACAATAAATAGACAAATGCAACATCACTCAAAATAATCAACCCTCAGAAGAAAATTCTATTGCATGCATGAGGTAATTATTTCCACATATAGCTTTCAGAATAATAGGCAATGTCTCAATCTCATAAATCACAAATAATATTTTATATTAATATCACTTGCAAAGATTTAAATTAAAAATTTGTGGGTAGAGATTCCTGGATCGAATCCCCCTCATAAATTAATAAAAGGTCTCAATCTCATAAATCACAAATAATGTTGGAATTGGTAAGAATTGCCTATTATATTTGTAATGGTAATATAGAATAATTGTCATACCAAAAGCTTGAAAAAAGGAACCAAATGCATGTTATAATCCAAAGTAATACTATGCATTTAATACTCTATTAAATAACACAAGGTACGTACAACTAGCTAACATATCCATTATATTATACATATATTATAAACTAAAAAGGTGTATTAAAAAAGTATTGTACTATTTTATACACTTTAATTATCTTAATAATTATTATTTTAAACATTTAGTTTAATTAGATTCTTTTAAATTTATAATGATAATAATCAAAATTAAAAAAAAAAAATTGTTTCTTATATATATATTACCTTAAAATGAGTTCATAATTAATATAATAGCTTAAATACTTTTAGAGTGAAAAACCATAACATTTGACTTTTTTTTTTTTTCTTTTTTTCTCGTTTTCTTTGTAAGCAAATATACTGATATTCATAATATTCCTAAGAATCTTCATTCAATGTATGGTAATCAAAAGATTTAAGAAAGCCAATAGATAAAATGAACTAAAATTAAGTGGGATATAAAATCACATTATACATTTCACGAAAACCTATCAATAATAATTTGACCCTGAAATTTTGGCTGCAAATTAGGTATTAATTGTGTGGTACTGAAAGCAGTAGTTTCCCAAATCTTCCTCTCCAATATTTTCACTACTCCAGTGTCAGGGATGTGTTATATATGGTATCTATCTCCCTCTCCCTTCAATAATAAGATTAGAACATCTCCAAATGACTCTTTATATGACCCAAATTCTTTATTATAAAGAGTTTGTTCATAAAAACAAGAGTCCAACAAACTCTTTATTTTTTAAATATAAATTAACGAGTGAGTTTGACTCTCCACATTTAGAGAGTCAAATTCCACTCTCTATCCTAATTTTAAATAATAAATTGTAAGTTTCTATGCATTTTCTTTATGAATTATCTCTCATATTAAGTTTCTTTTTTGAAAAAATATATTCTCTCTCCTAAAATTTAAAAAGTCTATTAGATTTGAATAAAAATTTTGTTCTTTATATTTAAAAATCAATGAAGATGCCCTTTGTTTATGTGAAAGATACTCTTTAAAATAAAGAGCACCATTGGAGATACTCTTATATATGCTAATTGAACGATAAAGAAAAAGACTAACTCAAAGTATACAAACTGGGGTTGACTATGTAATACAAAGACTATATACTTAATAAAAATTCAAATTAGGTGGGTTTACGTAATAATATGACTAATTAGAAAGAATCTGTTCCTATATTCATCGGCTTACATTACATTACATTTAATTTCTAAGTAAAGTAATACCTATGTACAAGTTGCTATGGATGAAGAAGTTCATGAGAGAGCTTGGTTTTGAACAACAACAGTATGTTTTGTTTTGTGACAACCAAAGTGCTATTCATCTTGTGAAGAATTCTACATTTCATTTTAGATCTAAACATATTGATGTAAGGTACCACTGGATAAAGGGATACTTTTCACGATAACCTATTTGAACTTGAGAAGAATTATATAGATGACAGTGGCTCAGATATGTTGGCAAAGGCTTTAGTAAGGGACAAACTTGAAGTTTGTTGAGCTATTGCTGATATGGTCCATTCCCTCACATAATAGGGAAAAGGGGAGATTTGTTGGGCTTGGGTTTCCCACATGTAGAGGATGACCCAAAATCCTAAAGCCCAAAAATAAAATAAAAAAAAGGAAGCAGCTTGGGTTCGTTGGTTTTTGAGTGGGTGAATAGTAAAAAATTAGGGTACTATTCACAGAATTAAAAATCTGCAAAAGTGAGAGAAAGGCAGCTGCACTAAGTTATTCTAACGACGATCCAACGATGAATCTTGCTTCATTTTTGCTCAAATTTCAGAATATTGTTGTGACAGTAAGATCTTCACGTCCAACGGTCAGTTTCGTGAAAGCTATTGTTTTTGTAGAGTTTTGCCTCTAGGAAGATAGCCAAATCAAAGAGTTTGAGTTGTAGAATTTTAGTTCATCTGTCCATCTTTAGCTTGACGATCGGAAGGTCATCTCTAGTTTGATTCACTTGATTTTTGGTCAGAATGCAGAGGACATTTGGCTCTTCAATCTGGATGGTTGGTTTTTTATTTTAATAGTAGAGTTTGGAGTTATACAGCTTGCCTTTTGGGTGCTTTGCTGGTGATTTTACTCCATCTTTTTCGTAACTCTTTTGTGTATTTTCACTTGTTAAAGTTGTGATAAAACTCTAAATTTGTGTGGAATATTATTGATAGATTGTGGCTGTTGTTAGTGCATTATTTCCTTTTAAACAGTTCATCACGTTTCTCAATTGTCATTCTTCCAGGAAAACTTTTCAATATCTTAGTTTCTTCTTTTCCATAGCAGCTAATTCTTTTTTACCATGGTGAAGAGAACCTATAGAAATTAACTTGTAGACTTTTTCATTTATTCTACAAATGTTTTCAGGAACTCTGTAAGTGGAACACTTATCAGGATCAGGATTGGGATCAGACTCCTAAGTGTTGGTCAATGTCACTTAACAACTCTTTGACCAGATCCTCATGTTTAAATGAAGCATTTATCATGTGGAAGTTCATTGTCGTATAGACAAATGTACAGACAAGAGTCAATAGCAGCAAATAGATAAATGCAACCCTCACAAGAAAATATCATTCTAGGTGCATACATGATCTATTAAAATTTTAAACCTTGGATTAATTTTTGGTGGAGCATAATATAATAGCTTAAATACTTTTTAGAGTAAAAAACCACAACATGGAATATATAGAACATTTTATTTTTTTCTCGTTTTCTCTGTAAGCATATATACTGATATTCATAATATATAATCAAAAGATTTAAAAAAGCCGCAATCCTATCAATTATCATAAACATATTAAGAACATGAATAACTAATGGATAGAATAAATAAATAAAAAATTAAAGTACAATAATATAATTTGAACCTGAAATTTTAGCCGCAAATTAAGAAGTAATTGTGTGGTACTGAGAGCAGCCGTTTCCCAGATCTTCCTCTCCAATATTTTCACAGCTCCGGCGCGGGGATGTGTTATTTATATCTGGTATCTATCTCCCTCTCCCTTTGATAATTATGTGTGTTATACAATTTACAAGTTGATCTTGATCTAAGAACAATAAAGAAAAAGACTAAGTCAGAGTAAACAAACTGGTGTTGACTATATAATACAAAGACTACATACATAATATAAATCCAAATTAGGTTGGTTTACCAAACACTATGTTCAAATGTAGTGGTTACATGCTTCCACAGCTTACCTAATTCCTATTTAACAAATGCATTGAACAAGTAAACAAAGACTTTATGCTAAGTCATGTGATCAACAACTCAAATCGTTGAAAATTCAAGATAGCGATTAATAAAATGACTTTCTTAACAATCTTTAGTGAATTGCAAAATTAGATTTGTAATATATGAAATAGGTAACATTTTTCAACGTTAAATGATAATCAAATATAAAAAAGACAATATAAATAAATAAAGTAAAAATCGAAAATTTTCCAGATTCGAAAAGACTTGTTGCGGCATGGAGGCAACATTAATTAAACATTGATTAAAAAAAAATTGAAATTTTGTTATTTAATAAACATTCCACATTAAAATTTTTAATGTAAATACAATTTCATAATAAAAAAATTTAATTGTTACTTGTAAAGTTGTTTGCAAACTAGCAAATTTTTTTTTTTTTTTTTTTTTTTTTGCATAAAATACAAGTAATTAAAGTCATATTGAAATCTTAAATATATTTTCCCAGTAATTTGAAACAATAATCGTAGTCTTCTATTTCCGTTCATCAAGTGCCAGCAGCGGTCTTGTTATAGGTGGTGGCTATTTGACTACTTACTCCGGGTGTTTTTTTTTATTTTTAATTTATATGATTAATTATTAATCATAGGGCGGACCCAAGGTTTAATGTCAGTGGGGGCGAGGTTAACGAAAATGTAGGTGAGTCAAAGTTCCAAATAATTTAATATAATTTTAGGAAAATTGAGTGGAATTATAACTAATTTAATATTTATCTAAAAAACTGAGTGGGGTCAAATTACTAATTAACATAAGTATAATTGGATTAAAATAGATTTTTTTACAAAATTAATGAATTTTCCTTCTTGGGTCTGCCCATAATTAATCGTTCAATTATTTATTTTTCAACAAAAGAAAACCGGTTGCTCAAGCCGAAGGGAAGAAGTCCAAGGCTTAGTTATGATCTGAGATGTTAAGATCTGCTAAATCTGATTTTTCTTAGCGGAAACAAGGAGTATGGACTAAATTAGTGGTAATGCATTGTCAAGAAACAGGATATAGCCTGATTTTGTGATCCTTGTCTTAAGAACTTACACATTTTGTTGTGTCAGGATTTGTCTTAAATTTTACAACTACAAAATTTTGCCAATCGTCATCTGAAAAGTCATATTTCTCCCGGAATTTCCCGTATGAAGTTTGAACTAGTGTTATATAGCTACGTACTTAGACTACTTCCAAACACTATAACACGCTTCTTTATTTCAAAAAGCAAGTGTAGATAACTAATTACTAGCTTGTGGTTGCCCCTTTGATTTTATAAAGCATGACCAAGGGGAATATCAAGTGGCATTTGGTTTACTGAATTAAATATGTTCAATTAGAAAAAATTGACCACGGTAAAA